GGGGGGGGGAGCAGAGACGGAGAGGGAGGAGGAGGAAGACCCAAACTTGTCAAATGAAAGACTGGGGCTTTTCTTTTGCAGGAATGGGTTGAAGCGGTACAACAAGTGCTGATGGAGAGGAGAGAAGCTGGATTGGCCTTGTCACTCGAGAGGGCAGATAAAGAGACCTTTATGTAGAGGGGAGGCAGGAGAATTTGTCCAGGGTCATTCGGCTGTGTGTCTACTTGTAAATAATGTGGTTCATTCGCTTCTTCTTTTTTTTAAATGAAAGAATTGAGATTGAATCAAGAGTTGTTTCATGTTTTGACAGCTGTCTTTATACAAACCATTTAAATGTGTGTATTTTCACGATAAAGCTTACATTTTTAATTTAATGTTTTAGTTTGAGTATATATATATATATATTTCTGTCTCATTTTAACAACTTTCTAAAAGTTCTGTTATTCTAAGGCGAAGACAGTTTTTTTTTCTTTTTTTACAAACAGTAAGTCAATTACTGCCGTCAGCTAATGCCCTGACCTCTTTTTTTAACACTTCCGATAGCTTACTAGCCTCAAACCGCTCAATTACATAATATCATGCATTGCAATGCATGATGGTCCTGACCTTTCCGATGCACTGGAAAGGTAGATCTCAGATGATTACCACCGTTCAAAAGCCAAGAGCACGGATCACCTTCTCCTGTTGATGGCAAATCTGCAGAGCTGTTTGTAGAACCTGACATGACCTCATGCGCAATTCTGAATGAATTAAACAATAGCAGTGGCAATATTAGAATAAGGTTTGCACTTTGTTGGATGCCACAGTGTCAGATCGGTTATGTACAGTTGTATTGCCAAAGGCAGATTCATTTTTGATAGTCTGTAGAAGTGAATCTGAGATTGTATCAGTTGTTTAGTCAACAGGGGTTCCTGTAGTTTTGTGAAAGTACACTGCCACTTGAATGAGTGCAGACTGCACACACGCACACACACACACATTCGTGCACACGATATTCTCGGCAATATGCCACGAGTTGGTATGTCATGGCGTTTTAAGTGACATCCATGAATCTGATGCATTCATTAAATGGTTTGTTAGCAGGATCTTGGTTCTGTAGATGGTGCCAGTCTTGTGACAGGGAGCGTCTTCATCCACAATAGAGGGCTTATGGGTAATGGCTATTGCACTGAATAGCCTTTTGATATTGGCCGAGACAAAGTGTCTCTAAAATTCCCTCGCTTTCAAGTTTTGAAGACGTAAAAAAAAGGAAAAAATCCCTTGAAGATTGCAGGATGTTGTGATGTTGACGATGATGTTTTAGATCAAGCTTGACATTTCATTTTTTTTTTTCGCTTGGGATATTTTAAACAAAATGGATCCTAAATGATGCAGAACTTTGGGACTTTAATCGTACTTGACAGATGCACATGCTGTCCGTGTTCGCTCAGCATGCAGGAACTGGTACACGGCAATCACGGTGAATGTGCGTTGGAAACAAATACGGTTCACAACTTTGCTCCGTGCAGCCTATGCGTAATTATTTGATTAAGGAAGAATGCACTCATCATCAGTGGCTGTGACGCATAACAAAAGGGGAACATACTGTACATTTAGGAGGCGCTTTATGCACCTCCTGCTCATTTTAAGATGTGAATTTGGAAGGCAGCGCTGGGGCAAGTGCAATTACATGTGTTCAGCAAGCACACACAACAGCTTCATTACATGCATGGACAGCATGCTATGTTTTTATGGGGAGGTTGTCCTTTAATCTTTACCGTATTGTTTTCTTCTGAGTCAGAAGCTTTGATTTGTGAGGAATGTCTGCAAATGAATGTCTGCTAGCAGAGACA